TCGCTGGCACAAGAGTGAAACTGCTCTCAGATAGTGGTTATGTGTGTGTTTTGAGTGGACCATTGCTTTTACAACAAATGTCCTAAAGCAAAGCCCTTTGGAAGACACACTAGGCTCTTCATACAGGGGTTATATAACCATTGATCCATGTAATTGATTATTTCTGCCCTAAGAAAGAAATATATACCAACAGAGACAGAGAGATTTAGATGAAAGAAGGCGTCACTGAGGAGTTCCTTGGAAATCATGCCAGGAATGAACAAGTGCCAGAAGAGCAATTCCATCTTTTCCCGCTCAGTCCATCCAGCCCTTCTGTCCCTCCCTCTTTGTTTTCCCCCTTTTAATCTTCCCTTTTCATTTATCAGTTATGTACCATAACCATTACTACAATCCTCATAGACTTGAAATGATCAGACAGAAAGAACTCCCAAAGTTTTTATTCAAAAGTAAACATCCTTGCTCATTGGCTGCAGCTACTTTTTGTCTTTTTGGGGGTTGCTCTTCCCAGTCAGTCAAGTGTTTGCTCATAGTGGGAACTGTTGGGTTTCTCTAAGTTATTGATAGTTCTCGACCTTACAAGGGGTTTGAGATAATCAATGTTGGTATATACAAATAAAATTGAGGTGAGATTTGATTATTTATTTATTGATAATCTTTCACATTTCCATAGATATTTTTTTTAATGATTTAAGCAATCTTGGCCTTTTCTGAAATAAAAAGTCAGACATTTCAGATGTAACTGTTATTTTGATTTGTATTAGTCCTATAACAGTAGATAACATGCAATATTTACATGTGAATTCTAAGTTGATTTTCACACTGAGTTGTGATTAATGTGAATACATAACTGGAGTCCTTTCATTAACATTAGGAAACTTTGGAAAAGATTTGCTAAAATATAAACTAATAATATAATTAATAAGAAGAAGAAGTAATGAACAGCTGGGATGGAATACTATGATGATGGATTCATGGTGCTTACTTATTTTTGTATTTTGTGACATTACGTGTATTCTACAGAAAGAAGAAACATTTTATAGCGCACTGTATGATATATATGAATCCCAGGAAACTAATTTCCTCCTTGGCCTCCCTTGTGCCATATCCTTCTCTGGGGTGTCCACAACCTGAATAAAGTCAAATAAAAAAACTCCCCTCCTTAATCTTTCAGAAGTGAAGGAAAGGTAAGAGAGGAAAGATGAATGTAGCCTGACATGCTGCTGTGCTGAGACATAGTGCTGCGACTTTGTAATGATGGGGAACTATGAGCACGGGGAGATGGGGACAGACCTCCTTTCATGCGTAGCCCCGGTGACCCAATAGATCATCGCCCCGAGGCTGTCATATCCTATCTGCATCCATCCTGTTGCTCCTGAAGAATGCGTCTCTGTCGTGTGTGTGTGTGCATGTGTGTGTGTGTGCATGTGTGTGTGTGCATGTGTGTGAAAGCTTTGCCAGAAGAGTAATGAACGACCCCACTCTGGCAGTTCTGATTCTTCAGCCCTCTGTAAGGTGCTCTCTGTCTGGAGCTCTCTCTGTAAGGTGCTCTCTGTCTGGAGCTCCTCTGGGCTGGAAATTAAATAAGGCCAAATGACCTCGCTGGCAGGGAGACAGAAAGCTCCCATTCCCTGTTCGACAGACAGTAAGAAAATATCTCTCGGGGGAAAAAGTCGGCAGAGAGTGATGCCTCCTGAGTCTCTAAATTTCTTTTCTCTATTTAACAACATCGGTTCTCTTTGTATCATCACTTCTTCCCCCTCTCACACTGTTTTCTCTGTCATTGTGACCATACATACAATGGATGATAATGCATAAAAATCTGGGTTGTTTCATATCACAGAAAAAAGCTAACAATAGAGGTTTTGAGCCATTCAGATAGAACATTTTTTATGCTTTTGATCAATTCCCAGTGCAGTGAAGAATTCAGACCAGAAAACAGATTACAAATAATTTAAACTCTCTCCTTAGATCCCTCTGTTGAACCATGTTAAAACTAGATGGGAGCTCACTGGATCCACTCCAAATTCTAATAGGTTTCTCCTTGGGTCATGTCCCACCTCTCCACAGAATTTCATGGTAATAGGTTCAGTAGTTTGTGAGTAATCCTGCTCACAGACAGACAAATAAAAGTCGATGAAAACATAACCTCCTTGGCTTAGGTAATGAGACCAACTGCAGTTTGAGGGTTTCTCCTGATTGACACATGTACATGTTTTTCTTTTCTGTAACAATATATTTAATAATTCAGACGTATGTTTATAATCTCGTCTTTTTGACTGTGATCTTTATTTCATTTACACTATCAAGGCTTCGTAGGTTTTTCCCCATGCTGTTTGTCTCGGTTATCATAGGGTTTATTCCAGGCCTTGATGTTACTGAAGCTGTTTATTTACACTGCTCTACTCTGGGGGGGAGGGGCAGGCCTTCAGATATGAGCGTTTGACAGATGGGCTGCACGGTTTCCTGCCCTACCTCTGAATATGTGTCAGTCAGGCTCTTGTTTATGTGTGATCCTCTTCAGCTGACCTCCGTCTTTGAACTAGTATTCGGAATAAATATCAACTGTATTGTGTCTGTAGTAACAGATATTCATAGGAATTTACTGAAGATGCGTCATCGTTATATTCACTGATTCTAATAATCTTTATGACAAAAAAAAGATGAATTCATTTATTAGTTTATTTATTTAAAGTACACGTGTTAGGATGAATTATACATTGATGAGATGGCACTTTTTGTATATTTTTATCATTTAGAGTTCATTTTCGTTTGCAAATTTGTTTGTACTTATCAATGCAAGGTCATTTAAACAGCATTTTTTCCTTGCATTGGTACATAATCTGTTCGACCTTACCTGTGATGATGTCACATCAGTAGGCTATTGATTTTTACATGGGAAAAATGCACTGTTGGTGGTGAAATACGATCTCAGTTTACCAAGGCAATAAGGTGAGCCGCTTTTAGAAAGTCATTGAAGGATCCTTTAGCCTTTCTCTTGTTGACCTATTATTGATTTTTAAATCCTGATCCTTATGATCATATTAACTGTATAACTTTATGAGTAGTAGTGCATGTGGGATTTCTTAAAGTGAACTTACGTGACTCTAAGTGAATCAAATAGCAACATCTGCTGTGTGGACAGAAATCTTCCAGTGTCTGGGGGATGAGGGAGATGACCCAGATGAACAAACATTTGCCACAGCAGTGTGTGGCTTTAAAGCTTTGTAGCAGTGATGTGTCACTCTGGATATGAATGAAAGTTGAGAGGTCTGGGGCTTCTGACAGTGAAAACCTCTAATCTTATTGCTACCCATTGAACAGACAGATACACACAGTTACCACCCCCTCCCCGGGGCAAAGAGGCTTTGGTTGCCCTGCTTGCACATGCTGACCTGATTTTGTGTGTGTTTTTGTGTGTGTGCCCATGTGTGTTTATGAAGCAGATTAGGATGGTGGCATGGCCAGACACTTCTGTGGAGAGTGGTGAGTGTGTCTTTATGATTGTAGACACGTGTGTCTCAGCATGGAAATGTGGGGCAGTGCTGTACGTTTTTTTTTTTTCCAAAATAGGAGTCGCACATTGTAACTCAACACCCCTCCCCCAACCCCGGAAAAGTTGAGTGGATTATTTCTCCAGTATCTGCATTTGTGTCTTTGTACCAGTTTGTCAAGGGATCTGCTCACATGGGTGTAACTGCTTCATCTACTGTGTGGCAACAACGCTGCAGGCCTTTCCTTGCTATCAATGAATATTAACAGTATTTGATGCAACGGTAGGTTAGTGTCTAGTAACTGCTTTTGTTCATCATGCAAATGGGTTTATTTTCATTTAACGGCACCAGCAATCTGGCTCTTCCCCATTCATAATCACCCAGCACTAACCACATGGATGCAACATGCAGGTGCACCATCAACACATGAACACTTGTCACATGGCTGACTGGAAATGAATGAATCAACAATGAGTAAAAGGAAACAGCCCTGTGTTCCCCCCCTTTGTTGGCTTTACATGCTGTACACCCTGCATTCAGTGCTGACTGTATGCTGGCTACCTTCCCAGCACTGGTGCTTTGCCCCCCAGGCGTTGTCTATCTGTTTGCCCATTCTTTTGTTGGCTAGGCATGTTGGCGCCACAACCTCCAAAGCCAGTGCCAGCTACAGGTCATGTCATGTCAGAAACCCTTGAAAACAGAAATGTTCATCACTCTATTAACGTCTCATTAAGAATGTTTCTTTAATTTTGGTAGCTTATATGTACATCATGTGTGTGACATATATAACATATCATAACAAGCATGGCCAGCTCCAATTGTTTTGTTGCCCTAGACAAGAGTACCACTCCTACATTACCCCACCAGTGCTGCCTCATTAAAATACTGATCGGTGTAATATCAGCACAATGAGTTATGTTCTAGAAAGATGCAGTTATCTATTCTAGATAGCTAGCTACTAGCCATTCAGATTCAGAGTCTAGCATCACTATATCCAGATTTATTGCTAGTTTTGGGTGTGTCCCGTGTGCATAGAGAAAAAGAGTCATTAGACCTTTATGTCTCTCATGTGATTATGTGAATGCTTCAAGACAGACTTGCCGTGCCAATGTCTCAAGTCACCCTCTAAGCTTGCCAGATTAATCCCTAATGCTCCTCACAGTCAGCAATCGTAAAGGAGACAGACATGCAACAACTGCAGCAGGTGGAAAGTACTACTGTCAAGATGAAAATGAAGGACACAGTACATACATCTTTTATAGTGTGAGTTTGTAGTGTACTATTTTTTATTCAAACGTGAAGTGACCGCTGGATCACTGGTCTGGATAAAGTTTGACGATGGTAAGTCACAATATGGGTTTGAGTCATTTTATTTGATATCTCCAGCTTTAGGGAGAAGTAGAAAATGTACGCGATGTGGTAGCTGTTGGGATTAATGAGGAGTTTTACTGGAATGAATCAGCCTAATCACAATCTAATCATCTCTCCATATGTCTGTTCTTTCTCCAGTTGTATGTGATTCCATGCTCCTTAATGCCATTGTTGGCATCTAATGGAAGAAAAAGCATCGATCAGGTCCACCATGGTATCTAGATTGCCCAAGTTTGGTGGACGCCCAACCACTAATGGTGCTAATCCCTTGTCCAATGGTTCTACCCAGCCAACAACCCCTACCCAGTGTGGTAAGAGCACTCCCCCAGCAGCAGAGCCAAACAGTCTGATCCGTGCCTCTCCTTTTTCCTTGAAATGGAAGAGAGATGATAGGACGACCATCTCCAGCTCCACCAGCTCTGGGGACAGAGATGAAGACAAGATTCAGACACAGCGTCCCTCGTTGGCAAAAGAGGTAAAGAGCGGGACTCAGGGGACTCCCAAGATTCGAAGGTCAGGTACTTTGATGGTTGCTGTGTCTAGCCCCAAGGCAATTCCTAAGCAATCTTCTAAGATGAGTCCGAAAGTAGGAACCAAGCTAGGCAAAAGCCCAATAAACGGAGGTCCTAAAAATGGTCTCACTGGCTCCAGTATTCCTGGGTCAGATTTGCGCCTTGTGCGGCCAAGGTTAGGCTCTAGCACTCCCAGAAGCAGCTCCCAAGACAGTCTGTCCCAGTCCAGCGACAGCCTGAAGACCTTGGCACTGGACAACATGGTGCGTTCAAATAGCTTCACTCACTTCAAGCAGATTCCCTCTCCTACAACCCAATCAATGACACGGTCCTTCTCCTTTAACCGAGCTGTGGAGCTCGCCAAGCCTCTGGCCAACACCCAGCTCCGACCTCCTCGCAGTACTTTCCTCAAACCCCCTCAGCTGAGCAATGGAAGAGTTGGTTTAGGACTTGGAGGCCTGAATGGTAGCCTGGGAGGTTCAGGGAGTCTAGATGGAGGACTGCAGTACATCAGAACTCCTCCTGCTGCCTCCTCTCTGCCTACCTTGTCTATCCCGTCAACACCCTCTACTCCCAGTGCTCTGAAGAAGCCTCTGTTCCCCAGTTGTGTGCTGACCAAGTCACTGGGCAGCAGTGTGGGGACTCTGGGTTACAAGCTAGCTCGATCTGGGCAGGCCAAGCAGCAGAAGCCTCTTTTTCCAGGTAAAGTCAAGGGGGATATCAGAACTTCTGCTGCCCCTGAGTGTGGAGAGTCATTAGACATAGAGCCACATGGTGAGGCTGAAAAAGACTCTCACAGTGACAGTGATGGAAGCTCTGGAGATAGAGGGGCCAACGGAGCAGGAAATGGTGTGGACATGCAAAGCTCGTGCCAGGCTGCAGGGGAGACTCTGGAGGACATGTCCTTATCTTCCGCCTCATCTCTAGACAGAGGAGACACCAGTGAAGAGTTTTTAGATGACGATAGTATGGGAGATGTGCTCAGTGATGGGGACATGACTGACTACAGGACAGCTGGCACCACTACCCAAACCCGTCTAGACAGCTTTCTCAACGAGACCATTGACTGGGACAGTATGGATCTGGAAGGTAAATTAAAATGAGGTTCAACTAAATATTTATGTAACATTTGTGTCAGTTTTTCAGCCCTGAGTTTTTAATTTCTGCAGAACATAAAGAAGAAAGCCCTATGGAGGACTCCCAGGGACCACTAGTCTTGTCTCCAGAGCAAGGTGATGTCCCCCAGGCCTCATCTGTTGAGCTGTCACCATCCAACAGCTCTGGTGGAACTTACATGTGGGACGAGGAGGGTCTTGAGCCTCTTGGGGGACCCGGGACTCATCCATTAGACAGCTATGATAATTCAGAGCTCAACAGCATGGTGAGTCGTAAGTTTTCATACATGTGACATAAATGTGTTTAATGCAGAGAAAAAACAGCCTTTGTTAGATTGTCAATCCCAATCCACATTTAGGCTTTTTCAAAACAATGTAGCAGCTGGCACCATTTTCACACTGTTTTGGATATCAGAACTCTCATATTTTTAGGAATTATTTCTCAATAGTTTCTCATAAACAGTTAAGGAACTCAGAACACTTGTTATAGCCTCTGCCAACAAGTCTCGTCCCTCCACTCCTCCTACCTTTACACCAAATGGCAGATTGATCTGTTGCATATTTCAGAGAAGGAAAGAAATGGAGGGATGCCAGAGCCCTTGTGCCCTTTTCAGCCACTTAGGCTTAAATAGTTGAGAGAATATTTGAAGCTGTTGCAGTGTCAACTGATTGAAAGTTGGCAAAGAATCAACCTGTGAAGCGGGTTCATCCAAGAACCCTGGATCTTTAAGAGAGAGAGTGGTTAGGAAGACATTTTAAAGTTGTGAGGCCTGGTGTACATTTTACAAATGGATTTATTTTAACAATATCATGGGCATTACAGAGAGAAAAATTCAAGCATCAAACACCTGATCAAAATACGTAACTACAAGTCTAGAATATACACTTATATGCAGTACATCATCCTAATATTTGCAGGGATAATATTAAATATACACATACATTCATTGTATGGAGGTCATGGGTGTTTCTTTGCCCCTTTAGTTTTACTATGGTATTTTTATCTGTATTAGATTATTTAGAAAAATCTAAACTTGCATTAAAAGTTGGAAATGCTGTGCACAGTAACACTGTCAAAGAATTAGTTTGGAAAGTAATTGTAAATGCATCAGAATGACATGGAACACGTCAAGCTTTGTGTAGCAAAGGTCTTAGATCACTTTTTGTGTGATTTTGTGATTTTCCCCTTAATATGGAGTTGACTCTACTCCTCTAATATACTTTGAAGCCATTAACAAGCACAAATGCTCTACCAGGCTTAAGTCTGGTCTCCTAGTTACAGCCTGGGGCCTTTTTTTGTTTTGACACACTGTAATTGTCTTTGCTCTTTAATCAGTGTCACTTTTGTATGATTCCTTCTTCCTCTCTTTATAATTTGGGATTAAATGATCGGAACAAAGGCTGAGAAGGAAAACAAAATTGACTAGTACTTACTGCCAGCTCTCACCAGCCATTTCATGCGAACGTCTCTCTAGCTCGCTGAGAGGAATTTTGACCTGGCCACCAACTGTGAGTTAATAGCATCGCTTGCCTTGCTGCAGTCCTGTGTGTTGCTGTACCACGGCACCTGATCTCAGGAATGCTATAAAGAGCTTAAAATGAGCTGGATTATAATTTATATAAAACACTTTTACCATGTGATGTTGACACAATTATCACCACAATTTGTAATAGTGAATCTTTTACAACTTAACAAATCAAGTTGAGACAAAGGGAGAGCTTTGTGTGTGTGTGTGTGTGTGTGTGTGTGTGTGTGTGTGTGTGTGTCCTATCTGTGTGTGCTGCTATGAGCACACATGCTTTAGACATGTGTATGTGATTAAGATTGTGTGTCTGTGTTTGTCTGTATAGTAGATTAGTTGAAATGTCATCATGGGGTTGACTTGTTTGACTTTTGGAAAACACATTCCATAACCACAGTTTGTGGATTTCGCCATCTTGTGGCCTCCCTAAGTTTGCATACTGTGCCTTTCTTTTCACATATACAACAATGTTGGATGGATTATAAGAGATCTGAAGACTTCACTTCAATTCTCTTCTACATGAATAAAAAAGCCACAGGGCTACCAGTGTGTGTTTAACTAGAGTGTGACGGAAGACTGTTATTTCATTACTCCCACTCTTGGCTATTGCAACGACACCCAACACCACTGAGGAGAAATGACTGAATGCATGTTTGCAGCATGTGTAACCTTTCTAATAAACACGTGAAAAGAAAATCTACTCATGACTTTATCTTGAATAGAAACCAAAGTAATCTTGAACTTTGTCTTGACACTCCTCTCAGTAGAACTTTACTCTTTCTGAACATGCACTGTGAGGACAACGATATATGTCGAGCAGTTTTCAGATATGAAATCTGGAAAATGACCGGAAAACTAGTTCTGGACATTTTACAGAGTAGCAGTGTTTTTGTTTACAGCACATCGACACGAGTGTCAACCCTCATCACTTAAAGCTCTCAAATCTCATTTTCTTTCCAAGCAGTGTGTAAGATGTGTATGACTCCTTCTTTTCATCCTGAGATATTTGTATTCTTCCAGTTTCGAGTTCGTCGCATGTTAGAAATGTATTTGACACGCCCACTCGCTATGAGTTTTCCAGAAATGTTCCTGTTCTCACATGGGCTCACTTTGATATTTTACGGACATTTTAAAAAGACCAGAGCAACTGACTGAGACATTTGCGTACTAACAACCTCTCCAGAACGTTTCAGAAAAATGTTCAGATTTCAGTGCATGTCTGAAAGCAGCTTTATTGGGGTACAAATATCAGGTCAAAGAAGAAGGTGGTACTGTTGACTGAGGAGGAGCTAGAAGGAAAAAGGGCACAAAGACCTAAAGGATAGAACCAGAAGGAGAGAGAGAGACTTAGTGACTGATTGCTGATGTGTGAAGATCAGCTCTATGGGGAATCTGCCATTGAGATACTTTACATAGCTGTTTGATTAGCGCAAATGGGCCCACTTACAGTAATTGGATGCACCGAGCTCTCTCTGTTCCACCCCTTTCTGCTTTTTAATTTCCATCTGTTTGTCTGATTCTTTCCTTGTTCACACAGTCAATACTTCCTCGCAATGAGGAGAAAACCATGAATATAATCCTGCTACAAAGCAGTGTCTGTGTCCAAGATGATTAGCAATTCTTGGGGATTTATCCTGCATAATCTATGTGGTGTGTAATACTGTGTATCATTGTTTTTGTTAGTTGTTGAATGAAGTGCCCTTTTTTCTGCAAGAGTTTGTTCCTTTCTTGGTTCTGCTTTCAATTAAATGCTTTAGGAAAAGCCTAACCTAATTATATAAAAAGTCAAAGCATTTAATCATAATCTGCAAACACTATGCAATTTGTGTTCATTGCATATATGTAACTGAAACTCGCTATTTAAGTTTTTTGCTGCATGAGAGAATGAATAAGACCTAGTCCCATGCGGCAAGTCACACTGCCACACTGCAGTGTCATGCTCAGTCCACATGGAGGCACTGTGCATCCTTAAAACAACAGTGCTCAGTGTGCTTGCTGCTGTTCCTTGTGTGCCAACATTTTCTGGCTATACATGGCTCTATTTGCATTCATATGCCTCTGTGCAAAATCAAGGAGTGGGTTTACCTGAGCTCATAATAACATTCCCATGATGCACCATGCAGTGTGGTACAGTACAAAATTGGCATCGTGAAATGGAGGGCATCATCTCGCAGTGATTGTAAATGTCTCGCCTGCTTAAGTGTGTAGCAGCACAATTTCTTTTGAAAGTATTTTTATGTATAAGAGCTTGAGCGTGCTTCTTTTATTTTGTCAGTCGAAGGCATAGGAACAGGAAGGGATGAGAGCAGGAGTTCACACGTTGATGATTCTGCTGCTGATGTGGGGGCGGAGACAATAATAGATGCACCTGTTCAATATAGTTCCTCTGCACTGTATTTCACCTTTTGGTTGAACTGTGTCAAACGGATGAAATTCATGGCATTTATTGTGTGATCGGATTATATTATACTGTCAAGTGCATAGACTGTATATAAAGATAGATGATGCATTTTCACTTCCTCTGGTTGTGCAAAAATGAAGCTACAGGTGCCACTATCTTGCACTTTTGACATCATTTGGAGCCACAGTGTGCCAAGTGGTGATCATGGTGTGGAGCTATGGTTTTGCGGTCCGGCCGATATTCACTATAGAGCAATAACGAATCAATCTCAGCTGTCAATCATGACATTTTAGCCCGTTTTCATCGCTTCACAAAGCAAATTTAAACTTCCTCAAGGAGCACAAACACTTCAACTAACCTCAGTGTCATAAGAGCTAGCTATAAACAGAAACCATCTTTGACAATTCATTTGACATATATTTTAGTTTGGTCCACGTCCCATCCACTAACATGGAGGAGGATGGGTCTATGACCTATTCTGCAGCCAGCCACCAGGGGGAAACAAGTGGATTTTCCCTTTAATGACGTAGGTAGTCTGATCTAATAAAATGAATTACAATATCACATGCATGTATGTGTTGCAGGGTTCTATTACGTAACATCACAGCTTATTATCTCCCAAGTTTCACCGTCACATAAACTTTTTGTTCACATTTAAAAGAATAAGAAACTTTGAGAATCAGTTCAGCCAAACTCAAGTTGCGGTTTGGTTTCAAACCTTTTCCTTAACAGAGATTCTGATAATTTCATTAACCTTGTGTTTGTTTAGGAGTCTTAGAAGAAATAGATTTCCCTTGACATAACAGCCCAGTGTCCCTCCTCATAGCATGAAACCTTTTCCCTTTTTCCTCGTTTAATTCTGTTAACAGTTATTATGCCCCTGTTCTTTCCTGTTTCTGTGTTCCAAACAAACTACTGGCAGCTCCATAATCCTTTGGTTTGTCACTGGGCTTCCTTTTGCACCTCTTATCCCTGATTTATTTATTTTGCCTCTAATTTTAGGCTTTTGTGGAGCCAGGCAGAGACAGGTCAATTCATTAGTGTTTGAATGAGTGGGGCGCTTAAGCCCTTTGTCTTCAGAGTGCTCAGCCATTTATGGAACATAGTGCCAGTGAACTGGCTCTGCTGCTGCATTAATGAGGCTTGTAGCTTACCTGCTTTTGTTTGTCTTGATTTTTAAATTGACAGCAGCAGCCCTTTAAGGAAAACAATGGCTTTGTGTGTATTTGTGCTTGCACTGCTTTCTTTAAAGACCATCTCACACACACACACACACACATGCACATGCTAATTTACACTAACCGACACTAATATTTTTCTTGTAACAACAGTGGTCTGAGTC